ATCCGAGTAATGGGGTGATTGAGGTCAAGCATGAGCTCACCTGAGGCATAGTGAAGTAGAGCACGCATACAGCCAAAGATGTGGCGCTCACCATCCTTGTCAGTAAGTTGGTTCAGATCGTTGAAGTATGTACCATCACATCCCCCGACAACGGACGTCTGGACGTAAGTGCCCATGGTGACCTCAAGAGTTGGAAAAGCGATGTTAAGCCGAAGCTCAAGCAGACGGCTTTTATATCTCGGTCGATTCCGAGGCAGCTTCGGTTCCGAACACGTTCATGCTGCAAGGCGAACTTCACACCTGATGGAAGGTCCTAATTCCTGTATACCAATGATGAACAATCCGGATCGATCTCGTTCACGCCAAAAGCGCTCTGTTATCCGACATTCGCTGCGTAATCATGATATACACCTTCGGGACATTCGCGTGTAGCCTCATGCATGCAGGTTCCAATCGAGGGACTACGGTAGACTGCGAGAGAGCTAGGTGCATGCGAAATCAGTCAACGTCGGACTATCAGCGTCTCCATCTGCCTGCACAGTCCACCTCCATGTAAGTACCATGCCATTACCGATGTCATGACCGCTCGCACGTCAATCGGCCGCCATGACTCTGAGTATATTCACTAGTGACTTCACATGAAATCAAGGCCCTTGAGCCTGCGGACACTCCACGGCATTGTCCAATCTCTTCACGGCACTCTAATAGGTCTCCTTTATTACAGATGCGCGCATGCATTCGATGCCACTTGGGGATGATTTCCTGGATAACGCTGGATACACTCTGTCTCGCTGACCAGCAATGCAGGAATACGGGTGTGATCGTAAGCAGACCGCATCGCAACGAATTATTCATCCTTAGGAGCTGTGATGAGGTTGTTGACATCCTGCTTTAAGATCTTGGAAAACGTATGAGAGGAGTCCAAGATTGGCGAAGAACCTGAGGGGTCATTCGACAAAGAACTGAAGCTCTCAAAGTATGAGCCATGATGGCGTGCCGATGTCCGAAGGCAACACCTACTACGTGGAGTTCAAATTGCTGCTGACGTTCATGTAAAAAGATAGCCCAACGATGCCATCTATACGCGATTATCGGCTAACGGGAGATCCAAGATGCAAGAACGACTTACGGCTGAATTCGTCTTTTCGTTTCCCGCCATTATCATAGCCAGCGAACGCGAGAATGTTGGATACATGATAGGTCGACCCGTTGTCCTGATTGTGAGACCCGGCCTTATTACCAACAGGCTACGGCATACAAGATTAGTAGAGTTTTCAAAGGCTTTGAAATCAATCAACTTACGCCTACAAGGCGACTGCTCGCGGACTTTTGATCAAATATCACGAAAGTCATGCTATTGATGAGCCTTTGTCGATAATAATCCTGGTACCCAGCACGACCGTATATGGCCAGGATGATTTCCGAGTCTGA